GGGGGGCGGGCGGGAGGAGGTGGAATTGCATTTCTGCCGCTAAAGCGTTCGCGGAGACTTCAAGGTATAATCTATCCCAGATCCTTTCCCAGAGAGAAACTTGGCGATCACGTTTCCACATGATGCTCACGTTTGGTGCTCTCCAATTATCCCTCCCCACAAAGATAGGTGGCGTGTGTTGCAGGGTCTCTCCTCTCGCTCGTACAGAAAAGAAAAAGAAAAAAATGTCATTAGAAGAGGCGTAACACGTCAGTCCGTCCCCAGGTTTGTGTTTCCTGGAGTGGCAGAAAGAGATCAGTCCTAACCTGCCCAGCAGGAATAACGGTCCTTCCGACAACTCTTTGCAAGGCTTTTTACAATTTCTCCAGGAGCTGCATCTCCCTTCACCTTTTCTCCTCCACTTCGCGGCTTCTTCATGCTTTTTCTTCTCACCATTTCTGGCCAAAACTACAAACAAGACTTCGCAGGTAGGTTTGGAATTTAATTCCATTTTCTCTCCTTTTTTCTTTTCCTCTTCTCTTTTTTTTTTTTTCCTCACACCACCTCACGCATCAGCGGGCTTATTTCATTTCGAGAGTATTTTAATTTTTCTGGATTGTTTATACTTGGGGCGAAAATTTAATTTTTTTAATTTTTTTTTTTTTAATCTTTTTAACCGAAACATGAAGTCACTCCAGCACTGCTCCAGGAAGGGGTGAGCAGTTTCGGGGTGCACGGGGCTGTGCCACCACCACCCCTGCTCCCCTTACCTGTCAGCCAGGTAGGGGAAGTGCTTTTTAAAACGCAGCAGCAAAAGTTTTAGTGTTAGGAAAGGACTTCGTCCTCCTGCAAAAAAAACCAAAAAAACCAACAACAAAAAAAACAACCCTGTAACATCCCCCCACCCACCTCCTGCTCTTTTTTATTTCAGGTTTTACATCTGAGCTCTGAAAGTTTGCAGGTACCTGTTAATGCTTTGCATGCCCTGAGCATGCAGAGCCAGCCCGGCCGGGCACCGCTGGAGCCCCAGCCCCGGGCAGGGCTCCCCAGCAAAGGATGTGTTTCCCCAAACAGAAAGTTTTGCTGTTTTGTCTGCTCAGTTGGTTTCATTTCTATATTTTATTTTGTGAAGCAGGGTGAAGTAACACCTTAGCTTCTGGGAGCCTAAAGCAAGAAGTGAAAGTACAGACTGGAACTTAAAAGTCGTTCACCAAAAGGAAAAAAAAATAAAAATAAAATTAATACATATTTTTAAAAGCTTACCGGTCCTCTGGGAAGAAAAGTGTTCTCTAAATTTGCAGGTTTAAAATTATTGATAACTTTTTACGGGAGGCTGGAGAGTAGGGAAGGGAGTGAAATGCATTTAAAACAATTCACCATTGGTCGTTTTGCACTAAAACGCCAATTGCCGAGGCAGGCTGAGGGTCCGGGCTCGCCTCGGTGCCTGTCCTCCCTCTCCGCTGTATCTCCTCTCCTGGCAGATCTGCCGCGGTGATGCCACCACTGCCCACCCCAGCCCCGGGAATAACTGGCAAATACTAAAGTTTCTAGCACATTTCTCAGCCTCTTCTTTGCTTAGCCACCTTCATCCACATCCACAGAGCCACCCATTCCCTCTGTCCAGGCGGAATCCCAGGCAGGAGAGTGTGAGTAAACACGCTGACCCCACACACACTCTCTCAGTCTTCCCATCCTCTTACCTGCTTGGAGATTTATTATTTTTTATTTATAGCCAAGCAGGTTTTATAACAGTAAACGCCTGAGGAGAGAGTTCAGGCAGAATAAAAAGACCCAACAGCAGCACACTTCCCTGCTCAGTCCTGGTGTGAAGCTCCAGCAAAGTAAAAAGACACAAGGGAGGGGAAAGATAAAAAGGGAGGAAAAAAAAAATCTCATTCTGTTTAAAATGTATGTATATATATGTTGAAATTGTTGAGTCAGGTAATAATTTTTTAGGTTTTATGTAAAACTCCCAGTGCAGGAGAAGACAATAGATGCGAAGGCGAGGGGGCATCCTGCTCAGGAGAGCAAGGGTTAATTGCCCTTGTTTTACAGTTTGCATCTGTTACATCTTTTATAGCCCCCTGTTTAAACTAATCCTCAAGTCAAAGCATCTTTAAAGCTACAGCATCTTCCTCGAGATGGACTGAGTTTCAGGAGCGTTCTTGCAGCAAACCAAACGCTCCAGCCCCTCTCTCCCTTTGACAGATAGAGCCTCCAGCCCAGCCCGGGCACACAGGCACACACAGTAGGTCTAAAAGTTTACAAGTTGCTTTTATTTATTTTTTTTTTCCTTAAAAACAAAAAAACAAAACCCAACTGAAAGGCTGAAAACTCTGACAGCGGTAGTTTTGATTTCTGTTTCTTTTCTGGGAAGGAAAAAAAAAATGACACTCTGAAGCTTTGTTTAACTAAGGGGCAGGGGAAACCCTGAATATTGTCAAACTGACTAAAAAGGTGACAGAGGTTTATAATTACACTCCTCGTTGTTAGGGGGAGGGGGAGGTATCCGTGCTGATCTTTACCCCAAAAGGACAGGGGAGAGCCATGTTTCCCTCTCCTCTTATCACTTTGCTGGAGTGTACTTTGGGGGGAAATAAAAATGAAGGCAGGAGAAGGATAGGATTCCGCGTGAAAAGAAGTTCTAGTGTCAAATTAAAGTACTTTTAGGAGGAAATGGTCCGCCTAGCATTGAGTCAAACAGCCTACTGTAAAAGCTGTGCATTCCCTCATACGGTCATGAGTTATGACTCATTTGAGATGTAATTCTTGTCTCCCTCTCTCTCTCTCTCTCTCTCTGATCTGCTTTGCTGGTGCAACACACACACACGCAGGGAGGGAGACACACGCACACGCGCTCACACACCCACACACACACACGCAGAGACACAAGAGAGAGAGGGAGAGAGAGAGAGAGAGAAGGAGCAGAAATAAATAAATAAATAAATATATAAATAAATAAAGAAGAAGTCTGCCCGGCTGGGGAGAGAGGGGGAGCCCGCTCCGACCGCGTCCCACCTCCCCCGGCACGGCCAGCCTCGCCGTGTGCGTGGATGGGTTCTTTTTCGGGTGCAAACTGGGGTCCCCGTTGGCGCCCTGCGTTTAAATGGGACATCCCGATGCCCACATTGTCGCTGTGTTTGGTCGTTACATAGAGCCTGCGTGCTGCTGCTGCTGCCGCCGCCGCTGCTGCTGAATCAGGGAGTCGAGCCCATGCGAACTGCCATCTGATCCACTCTTATCAATGAAGCAGCAGATCATGGCGGATGGCCCCAGGTGTAAGAGGCGAAAACAAGCCAACCCCCGGAGGAAAAACGGTAAGACGGCCCCCCGGGAAAACTTTTCCGGCCGGCTCCGCCGCGGCCGCGGGGGGAAAGGCGGCGGCAGGACGGGGAGCGGGACGGGGAGGGGGGCACGGCAGCCCGGCAGCCCGGGGCTGGCCGCCCCCCGCCTCCCTGCGCGGCGTCCCGCGGAGCTGCGCGGAGCGGCGGCGGTGCGGAGGGACGCGGGGGAGCCGCGCTGCCGCCCCGCGCCGCCGCCGCCGCCCCAAAGTTTGTTGCGCGGGCGCGGAGCGGAGCGGGCGCTGCCCCCGTGGCCCGGAGCGGCGGGGCCGCTGCCCCGGAGCGGCGGAGGAGCGGCGGGGGCGGCCCGGCTCGCCCGGCGCTGCTCGCCGGGGTCGCTCCGGCGCTGTCAGTGCGGGCCGGGCCGGGGCGCGGAGCGGAGCGGGGCGGTGGGAGGCGCGGAGCGGCGCGGAACGAGCGGGGCGGGCGGCCCTGGGAAAAACACCCGGCAGCGTGAGAACCCCGAGGCGGGCTGGCACCGAGTTAGCGACTCTCTCTCTCTTTCTTTTTTTTTTTTTTTTTTTCTTTTTTTTTCTTTTTTTTTTTTTTTATTGTTAGGGACTCGAAAATGAAACTTCCTCCTCCCTGATAATTAATAATACTAATGAGCTCGGTGCCCGATTGTCCGTCGCTGCCCTCTCCCCCGGTCCCCGCCGGCCGCGCAGGGCCGGGGCGCAGTGGGACGCGGTGTTCTGGGCTGATTTCACATTTGGCAGCTTTCACTGGTGTGGTGGGTCTCTCTTTCTCCGTCTCTCCCCGTCCCTCCCTTAGTTTCTTCCTTTCTCTCCCGGCTGATAGCCGCTTCCCCGCCGCCAGCCTCTCCCTCCCCTCCCGCAGCCCCTCCATGGCCATCCCGGCCCCACTTCCAACAACTTTCCTCTCGAGGAGCCGGAGGAAGGAAGATATTTGTGTGAACCTGAACCCATGCGCTTATAGCTCAGCTACTTCATTTAAGTGGAGAGGTGGAGGTGGAGGGGGACTGAAGGAGGAGGGGGACACACACAACAACAACAACAACAACAAAAAACACAAAGACGAGAGAATGTTGATTAGAAACAAATGATCCTGTCCCCCCTCCCCTTCCCTCTCTCTAGGTTGTGAGTGTGAGTGTGTGTGTGTGCGTGTGTGTGTCTTTTTCTTGTTGTGGTGGAGGCGTCGAGCCATATGGGGGAGTGATAGAGGAATTTTAGTCAGAAACTGTTCGTTATGTTACACTGGCTTTTCCCTTTGTGTTGTCTTTGATCTATTTGCTTGGCTTAGTATTACCAAAAAAAAAAAAAAACAAACCCAAAAGAAAAAAACCTCAACTAAAATAATATATTCCGAGCAGCTTCCCAAGGATCCGTTCCTTGTTATCTTTTTTAAAGTCTCTCCCCCTCCACCACCACCCTTTACTCTTGTGTCTGTCATTATTTAAGGTGGTCCTCACAGAGGAGACCTCCCCTTCCCCTCATCTCTGGGTAATTTAGTAGACATTAAAATTACACGTAATGTTTCCCTCTCCTCTCTTGTGTTTCCTCTGTTCTTTTTATTAAATGTTGGTTATTGATTTTCTAAAATCAATGTCTGTTGTGGGGCTTTTTTCCCCTTACAAGTATCTAAAGCACGTTGCTGATCAACTGGATAACAAAAGCTTTGTGTCAAGTAGCCTTTTTTCTTATGTTAAACAGTCATTTTTGAGAGAAAAAGAGAATGAGATTTAAAGCAACGCATCCAGAAGTGCTCTTTTGCAGTAAAGAATATTCTGAGTGTTTGAGGGGGTTTTATTCTTCTTCCTCAGCCTCCTTGCTTTTCCAGGCAAGACTATTAGTTTAGCGTGTTAAACCCATCACATGCTCTCTGATGAGGGATGCATCTACGTGTGTAATATTTTCTCAACATGATTTGAGTCCTAAAAAAAACCCCACCACCACCCTTACCCTCACCGCCAGAAAAAAAAAAAAAAAAAAAAAAAAAAAAAATGCTGGATGCCTCTGTTTGCCCAGGACACCAGGACCGTATCCTGGTAGTGCAGCCAAGTCTTTGGGAGCACGTATGGAGCGGGGTGGCAGATTCTGGTTGTTCCCATGCAAAAGGGTGTTTTCAGGGAGCTGCACTAACTTGGAAAAGCCACCACACTTGGGAGACGAAAGTTTAATTGCGATTTTTAAGGTAACCACTTAAAGATCCTGCGAACTTCAAGTGTGTGTGCACTGCCTATGCGAAGGGCTGAGTTCTCCCTTCAGTGTCTTGTTCTGGCCAAGACACGGGGTGGGAGGGGGGGGGGGAAGGAAATAATTCTCTACTTTCTGTCTGTCCCCTCTTTGTGATCCCTAATTTGTTTCTTTCATTCATTTCTGAGTGAGAAATTCCCTGGTTCTGAGGAGCAGGTAGAGCGAGGGTGGGTTTGGTTAGAGCATTTTTTTTTTTTCTTCATTTTCTCGAGAAGCACGTATCCAGTGCCTTTCCTGTTGGGAATTGCCTAGGATTTATCTGGACTGAGTGGGTTTTTCTTCTTTCCTGGAATCGTGGAAAAGATGTTACTTCTGAGCTTGTGTCTTTGCTGATAACACCAGAAACGGTGATGCTTATCGAACTCGGACAGAAATTCCTTAGAAACGCAGCAAAACCAAAATAAAATTTAAAAGCCACGGTAAAAAAAAAAAAATGAAATAGATGGTGATGAAGGAAGCGAGAGGAGCGTTAGCGAATCCCAGACACATTACAGACGGGGACAAAACAGAATAATCCAACTAATGCCTCAGTGGGCTCCACGCCTGTGTGCGTGTATCTGCGTGTGTGCGGGGATGGGCAAGGCTCGGGATGAGATACCGGGGCTGGATAAAATTACAGCGGACCTAAATAGGGTAGAAAGGAAGCAGGCTCGGGATTTTCCAAGATAACGGGGTTGATGAGAGCTGCTGGAGTGGAGGAGAGGTGTGCGGGGGGGGAGGTGTGGGTTGAGAGAGGTGATGTGGAAATCAATGAGGGGTGAGCCCCCCGGGGAGGGGGGGCAGCGGGGAGGATGGGAAGGAGAGAACCCCGAAAGCGGAGCGGGGGGGGGGCGGGAGGTGCGGGAGCGGCAGCCCAGGAATGCGGCGGAGCTCCGGGAAGTTCAGTCAGATGATTCCCAGCGCCTGACTCACTTCGCGGCACTTTCACTCGGGAGAGAAGTGGCGGCAGAAGAGGAGGAGGAGGAGGAGGAGGAGGAAGAAGGAGGAGGAGGAGAGGGCAGCGAGCCCCCTTTCCGCACGGGCGCCCCGCGGAGGCGGGGGCTGTGCCGGCGGCCGCAGCGCCGGTGCGGAGCGGAGCGGAGCGGGGCCCGGCGGCAGCGCTGTCCGGCCGGCAGCCCT